CCCACTAAAACCGAAAACTCGCACATCGCACTGGCTACAAACCCGAACCCGACCCGAAATTACTGACTTCGGGTTTCAGTTACCCGGACCCGAAACTATTAAAGATGAAAGCTGTTTGCTGGTTTGGGAATTCAGAGCTCTGTCCGCCTTCCTTCCAAACCCCTCTCTCTTCCTCTCCTTGCGTATTCCCTTTCTAGAGAGGCATCCAAACTAGCTTCTCACTTTTCCACTCCCACAAATGACATTCTTACTCACTACCCAATACCAAGAACTAACCCCAAACCCAGAACCCCATTCTTCCCTTCATCTACTCTGTCGGCGACATCTCTCACTCATTCAGTACGGCCACCGACTTCTCTCAAAATCTTATGGATCTGATTTCGTTTCTCCACTAGGCATTCAGATCCTTAACTCAATCTCTCTCCTCTCTTGATTTCCAGCTCCTTCCCCTGAACCCTGCATGCTGGCAGATTTCCCAGGGAGCCCAATCCACGAGAAAAAAAGGAGGGATTCAGCTCCTGAAAACAAAACGGAAAGAGAAAAAGAATAAGAAGTCGATGAAGCCAGGGGAGAAATCGATGAAGCAAGGAGTTGAATCGGCGAAACCAAGGAAACCCTAAAACATGATCGGAGAAGGGTTGCGCTACCCAGATGCGGCGACGACAAAGTTGCAATCTTAAAGGAAAGGATGAGTTTGCCGCCGAAGGGGTTGCGAAGCAGTACAATGAGCGAGTGACTCCCCGGGGCGAGCTCCCTTCCGACGGCAGGTGGTGGTGGGTTCGGCGGCGGTGATCCCGCGGCGACATTCTGAAGATCTGGAGGACCGGCAGGATGAAGAGGCCCAAGCCCATCGATGAATCTGTGGACTCCACGAGCTCCTCGTAGCTGAAGTATCAGGAGGCGAGAGGAAAATGACGATGACAACCAGGAGAGCCCAAACTGCAATTTCGGGTTTTTTCGGGTTCTTATTGGTTTTCGGATTAAAGCGAAACCGAAACCGATACAGTTCAGTTTCGGGTTAGAACCGAAAATCCGAACCCGATAAGGTTAGTTACCGGTTCGGTTTCGGGTTAAACCAAAACCTAAACCCGCTTTGACACCCCTACCCAGATGTACCCTAAATACAATGGATTATAAATATATATAAAAAACTAGCGCACATCTAACGTATGATATACGCCCTGTATCTACACTAATTAGATACACTTCATATATTTTTACGATTGAGAACTGTCATTTATTATTTTTGGTGAACTGAACAATGCCCTAAGGCCTAAGGGGCACATCCCTCTCTTACAAGATTCCTAAGGGGCACCAAATATTGGAAAAAATCCCACTGTACACATGTTTTTAAAAAAAATTCTCAAAATACACATGTTATGAAAAAAATTCCCAAACTACGCATGTTTGGGGCTTCACCGCGTCAGACTAAGGCGGTGATTGCTTCACCGCGTTAAAGAAGGGCGGTGATGCAATCACCGCGTTAGAGAAAAACGGTGATTGCATCACCGCTGTAGACAAAAACGGTGATAGCTTCACCGCGTTCGACGGCCGCGGTGAAGGCCTGACCTGCGTCGAATCTTTAAAAAAACGTAACTTTTTGCTCGGTTATCCGATCGTGATGGAATCAAAAAAAAATTCATCACGATCGGATAACCGAGCAAAAAGTTACGTTTTTTTAAAGATTTGACGTAGGTCAGGCCTTCACCGTTTTCCTCTAACGCGGTGATGCATTCACCGCCTTCCTCTACAGCGGTGATGCAATCACCGTTTTTGTCTAACGCGGTGATGCAATCACCGTTTTCGTCTAACGCGGTGATTCAATCACCGCCTTGGTCAGACGCGGTGAAGGCCCAAACATGCGTAGATTGGGAATTTTTTTCATAACATGTGTATTTTGAGAATTTCTTTTAAAAACATGTGTACAGTGGGATTTTCCCCAAATATTACTATTGCCACCAAGCAATCATATAACTCCTTTTTTCAAGATTTTCCACCGGCGGCCGGCCGTACCCCTGGAGAATAATATTATCCTCTTTTCCACCCCTCCAATAATCCCAACTCAAATCAATCAAACAAACTTTTATTTGACGTTTTTTCCTATATATAGCTCCCCGGTTCCACACAAACCCATATATCCAAACCCACTATGCCAATTCCATACACATACTTTCAGTACTGTTCCATTTCCAAAAAAAAAAAAAGGAAATGGATCGAGTGTTCCAACTGGCGGCGGAGAGGCCGGTGGTGATGTTCAGTAAGAGCACTTGCTGCATGTGCCACACCATCAAGACCTTGTTCTCCGATTTCGGGGCCAACACCACGGTCTACGAGCTCGACGAGATGCCACGTGGCAGGGAGATCGAGCAGGCACTGGCTCGACACGTCGGCGCCGGCAGTGACTTCCCCGTGGTGTTCATCGGCGGGAAGCTCGTCGGTGGTGCCAATGAGATCATGACCCTTCATCTCAACGGTTCTTTGTCTGCCATGCTCAAACGGGCTGGTGCGCTGTGGCTCTGATCCATCTCGACGATGAGATGGGTCAAATTTTGACTAACTTTACTATGGATAATATGGAGTCTGAGTCTTTTTCTTCTTCTTAATTACAGTCATCATCATAATGATGATGATAATGATAAAACCTCTGTTTTTGGCTAAGCATCAGAGGTTACTAGCTACTGCGACTAATTATTATATAATAAAGTTTGGTCATGAGAGTTTCATCTCTTTTGTGGGTGTCTGTGATTTGTTTGATTGATCTTCATGAGGTTCAAATTGAGTACTAAAGAGTAAAAACTGTAGTAAAATTGTTTAGATAGCAAGGATTATTGTCCGATTTGAGTTCACGTACGTGGTCAGTCAATTATAATATTAGATGGAATTGCAAGAAGCATGATTAGGTCTTCAAATCATCCATCAACGCGCGCAGAATATCGGACTATGTCGGATTTGAGTTCTGCATGCAGGATCTTGGTACTTTGGGCTATGGCTCTTCATGTTGATAACGGTTAATCATTGCTGCTTGATCGTACCAAGCACATGCATTGAGAGTCACATCCGCTACATATCCGTGACTTAGTTCGTGTTGGAATTATTCATTTTCACTATATCCCAACAAATGATAAACAAGTGTTTTGTGCGGCTAGTCATAGCGTTGGTTTCTTTCTAACAAATTGATTCTATATATCTTGTAACGTACATGCGTGGCCTTCATCGATGTATCATAGCTATTGGAAGCTATCTTACTTTTGCGGTGCAAGATCGGTCCTGGGATTGGATAATATATATATATCCAGAAGAAATTGGAAAAAATCCAAAAGTACCACTGTTTAAAAAAAAAATTCCAAAAATACCACCCAATCCCAAAAAATTCCAAAAATACCACCCTTTTTCAAAAACCGCCACCCCACCCAGCGGTTTGGTCGAAAACCGCTTGTCGGGGGCGCGGTTTTGGACCAAACCGCGGGCCTAGGGGGCGGTTATAAAAAAAAAAAAAAATTGGACCAAAACCGCTGGGTGGGGTGGCGGTTTGGCCCAAAACCGCCACCCCAACCAGCGGTTTGGTCCAAAAGTTCGGTCGAAACTTCAAACGAACGTAACTTTGCACTCGGGTATCCGATCGTAGCGATTTTTTTTTTCATTTCGCATAATTTTTCAAGATCTACAACTTTTACTAGGATGAAATTTTCAAAACAGGAACTATTTGTGGATATACGGGACCTTGAGAATAACTTTACCTTTACTTTTCAGAAATCCATGCACATTTTCAAATTATGATTATATTAAAAGTTGTAGATATTGAAAAGTTATGCGGAATAAAAAAACAATTCATGACATTCGGATTTTGGAGCACAAAGTTATGGCCGCCCAAAGTTTGACGAAATAAAAAAAGGCCGTTCGGGGTGGCAAATGACGTTTTTTCGAGACGAAGACGGAACCCGACTGTTTGAGACTTGCAAGATCTCAAAAAGTTATTCGGATTCAAAAAATGGAGGCCGCAAACTTTTTGAGATCTTGCAAGCCGCAAACCGCCGGGTCTCGCCTTTCGTCAAACTTTGGGCGGCCATAACTTTGTGCTCCAAACTCCGAATGTTATGAACTTTTTTTTGATTCCTCATAACTTTTCAAGATCTACAACTTTTAATATAATCATAATTTCAAAATGTACATGGATTTCTGAAAAGTAAAGGTAAAGTTATTCTCAAGGTCCCGTATATCCACAAATAGTTCCTGTTTTGAAAATTTCATCCTTGTAAAAGTTGTAGATCTTGAAAAGTTATGCGAAATGAAAAAAAAAATCGCTACGATCGGATACCCGAGTGCAAAGTTACGTTCGTTTGAAGTTTCGACCGAACTTTTGGACCAAACCGCTGGTTGGGGTGGCGGTTTGGCCCAAAACCGCCACCCCACCCAGCGGTTTTGGTCCTTTTTTTTTTTATAACCGCCCCCTAGGCCCGCGGTTTGGTCCAAAACCGCGCCCCCGACAAGCGGTTTTCGACCAAACCGCTGGGTGGGGTGGCGGTTTTTGAAAAAGGGTGGTATTTTTGGAATTTTTTGGGATTGGGTGGTATTTTTGGAATTTTTTTTTTAAACAGTGGTACTTTTGGATTTTTTCCGAAGAAATTCTGCCAATGCAATCTTTCAAAAATCAAACAAATCAAAGCAGAAAGGTATTGGATGCAGTAGTTGACAAATTGAACAGGAAAAGATATACCACATGGAAGTGGAAAAAAAAGAAGCAGCAGCAGCGATCGACGTGGAGGACGAATCACATTTTACCTTTTTTTTTTCTTCTTTACAATGTTAATTTCTTACATAACTGAACGGCTCGAATACATAAAATATTAAGTGAATTGTAATACAATATCAAATTAAACTTAGGAATAACTCTTCGTACATGTTTTGCAAGTATGTTGTACATCGATCTATACATACGAGGAAATTTATATAGTCCTTGATACAAATTCTCAACAAGCAAGAAGAAAACAGTGCCCTGTTGCATGTGCCACACCATCAACACCTTGTTCTCCGATTTCGGGGTCCACACCACGGTCTACGAGCTCGACGAGATGCCACGTGGCAGGGAGATCGAGCAGGCACTGGCTCGACAAGGTGTCGGGCTGTCGGCAATGACTTCCCTGTGGTGTTCATCGGAGGGAAGCTTGTGGGTGGTGTTCTCAACGGTTCCTTGTCTGTCATGCTCAAACGAGCTGGTGCGTTGTGGCTGTGATCATATCGATGATGAGAATTGAGACGAGTCAAGTTTTGGCTAACTTTACTATAATCAAGTCTTTTTTTTTCCTTTCATCATAGCTATGGTCATCACGATAAATCCTCTATTTTTGGCTAAACATAAGAGGTATACATATGTATTATGTATGGGGTCATGAAGAATTAGGTTTTGCGCTATTTATAATGTAATGCCTAATGATAGATATCCCCACTTTTTTAATGTATCTCTCTATATATATATATATACATTTACTAGTACGACTAATAAAATAAAGTTGATGAAAACTGGTTTCTTGATTCCGTTCCCCTGAGCACGCCTTTGGAGACGAAGAGTCCTTTTACTATGCTATAAAGTATTGGTGCTTTAATGTACAACTTGAAGTTGTACCATAACATTAAATGTATAAGTTTAAGTTGTACCATAAAGGAATTTGTACCCTTGTGTTATGGTACAACTTTACAACTTGAAGTTGTATCATCACATAAAAGTACAAGTTCAAGTTGTACCATAAAGAATATGTACAAAATAATGTAGGTATAATCTAAAACTGTACCATAACATTGAATGTACAATTTCAAGTTGTACCATAAAGATAAAAACCTATAGCACCAATGCTATATAGTATTGTAAAATTCCTCTGGAGACGAATCCTAAATTTGGAAATTGATTTGTTGTAGAACATGCTTCCATTTCCTACCTTTATTAATGCTAACTTTCTTGATTCCTTGTGTCTGCATGGCTGCCGTATCTCGATCGGAAAGGTAGCCATCTACCAATGAACCAAACCAATGCGGAAAAGATAAATGTGACGAAATTGAAATATGCAAATGTATGTGATGCCAGGATCCGTTCTCGCAAAACAACTGATTTGATGAAATCATAATATTCTTATTTATCGTAAAAAAAAGTTGACATTCTTTTCCTCCCTCCCTTTCACAAAAATGCTCTATTTTCTTTTCTTTTCTTCTTTGAGGAATCTTATCTCTATCCTTCTCGGTCTTTATCTATTCTCCCGTGCCATGTTCTTACGTATTTAATTTCCAGCTAGTGCATGTAATAATTAATTACTTGAGCTTTGATAATCATCTCGCAACAGGCAATATCACATTATGTAAATTTGCATGGATTTTTTTTCCATATAAATAATTAAGAATTACTAGGATTCTCGCGTCTTCTTTTTCTTAATTTTGGCAGACCCAAAAATATGAATGTGCGATTAACTTGAACCGTGATATTTGGAAGAGGGGACTCAGCCCTTACCAACTATAGTTTTTTACTTTTATATTTTAAGTTGGTTTCAACCTAACTCCTCCACTGGTTATTTTGGCTCAAGGCTCTGATATCAATCATGTACCGAGTCGGTTTCTAATAATTTTATGAAATTAGCCGAGTGATAATGTGGGGCGGAGAACATCCATTACACTATCTGGGTATCAACAAAAGGAATCAGTTTGAATGGGTTAAATATTGGATTCATATATATCGTCAATCTTTCATTTCTGCTGCACCACAAACACAGATCGAGTAGGCCAGAAGTACGTACGCATGTAGGAGGAAGCTAACTAGCGAGCGACCTTAGCTATAGCTAGAATGAGTTGTGATATATCTGGCCTTTGGCCCCTCGTTTAGGCTGTTTCAAATAATTGTCCTACCTAGATAGACTACAGCTGCATGCATGCGGCCACTTGGAGGAAAAGAATCAAATGAAAATAATCAGAAAATATCCTATGTTGGTTGGTTTGCGAGAGAAAGGTTAGGGTGCTAATACTTTTTTTTGTTAGTATGGTGCTAACAATAGCTCTAGCCAATTAGAACATTTCGTTTGGATGATTTTTCTATTTAAATGAGTTGACCATAACTAAGGAGGGGAAAGGGAAAGGAGGGGCACGCTTGGTATTATGAAAAATTGGAAAAGGGGAGGAAGGAAGGGATATATCTTGCAAGCATGTCACAACCTCAAAGTAGACCACAACCTTCTCAAAGCATGCCACAACCTCAAAGCATGTCACAACCTGCTCAAGCATGCCACAACCACATGCAAAGCATTTGAGGAAAGGTATATATCTTGCTTTCTTAGGGCAAGTATTTGATGAAAATGGGTTTGCTGATTCATTCATGTGCGCACGCCCATTGAGCTAAATCTTAAACTTGGGGGGTGATCATGTGGCCAATAGTAGCGCATAAAAGAGTATTGTGGGGAGTTTGATATATTTTGTAGCCACCTGATCAGGCATTGCTTATGTCGTTCAAGTGGTTAACCAATTAATGTTAGATGATGTTTTAAGAAGCATGATTAGGTCTTCAAATCCTCCATCGAAGCAGAATATCCAACCATGTCGAATTTGAGTTCTAAACTGGAATGATTACAATGGTTACTGCAGGATCTTGGTATCTCCGGTCCTTGGGCTATGGCTCTTCATGTTGACAACAATTAATTAACCAGTGCTTCTTGATCATACTAATTAAGCACGTTGAGGGTCACATTCGCTACATATGTGACTTAGTTCGCGTTGGAGTTATTTGTTTTCACTACTAGTCATCGTTGGTTTAATTACTTCTTGGATTCATAGCTGACGTCAATTTGGGGAGGTTGTTCGAAGGTCACCTATAGTTTCACTCTAGCACCAGAGATGTTTCTACTCAGGTTCCTCTGGAGTTTGTAGTTGGATTGGAGTTCTCAATCAATCTCTACATGAGTAGAGCTAGGTAACAATAACGTAGATTCTTTTGTGTGAATCAAACATTCTCGTTCAAACGGTGTTTGAAAAGGTGTGATCTCACTGATAATCAAATTTTTTCTTCTTCTTAAAGTCCGAGTACATTACTCGATTAGTGCAAAAGTATATATGAACGTGGGAACTTCATTCGGGTAGCAGAAGTAGCTACCCTAGAATATAATGAATAAATCTGTGGCCCTTGGCCTCCAGTTTGAGCTGTTTCATAATCTTGTCCTAGATAGTACAACTGAACTGACTACAAAGGCCGTATGGAAGAAAAGAAAGTTTACTGATAAGAATAATAATGTATGTCGACTCCTATACTTTCAGTGTGAAACAAAGAGGACTACAAAGGACGAAGGAAGTTGTGTAGCTGTAGATCACTAATGATATACCGTATACGTACGTGGGTACAAGTATATTCTGATAATGCATCTCTCTCTTGTGTGTATAAGTTGCATGATGATGGTCCATGCATTCATGGATACGTACTGCGCAACAATGCCCTACTGCAGTAGTGGCTTCCCTTATTCGACTGGTATTTGCCTCTGGCGGCCTACTATTTTGATTCGCCCGACAACACAATACATCGCTTCTTCGATATATCTATTGGTGTAACTTGAATCGGACTATCAGTCGCGCTACGTACGACTAGAAGTCACGAGCAAAGTCCCCGGCCCGCGGTGTATGGGCTCAATGTTATTTGGGTTCGAATTCTGGGCATGGTTTGTATAATTTGCTTTTCCTTTACCATATTGGATTAGGGTTAGACCCAGGGGAAGTACTATAAATACTTCTCATACTCCTCTGTAATCTGTACGTATCTGCTCGAAGTATAGTGAAACTGGCTCTCTCTCTCCTGCCCGTGGACTAGCTAATTAACACACGTTGTGTTAGAGGACCACGTAAATCGTGTGTCATGTATATGTACGCTTTCGTTTCTTGCATTGTCGAATCCCTACTATTTCCCGATCCGCAGAGCAACAATCGTAACAATATCGCTATTGGAATCTTACTTTTGCCGTGCAAGATCGGTCCCGGGACTGGATAATATATCCAGGAAGAGATGCTGCCAATGCAATAATGTTTCAAAACCGAACAAATTAAAAAACAGAATGGTATTGGATGCAGTAGTTGACAAATTGAGCAGGAAGATATAATTACCATATGGGAAGTGGAAAAAAGAAGCAGCGATCGAGGAAGAGGAGGAATCACATTTAGCTTTTTACTTCTGCTTTACAATGTTAATTTATGACATATATAACTGAACAACGCAAAATATCAAGTTTATTGTAATGCGATAAATTAATTTTTTTACGTAATGTATGGAGATTTTTCCAGAAATAGCACTGTTTAAAAAAAAAATTCCAAAAATAGCACCCAACTCCGAAAAATTCCAAAAATAGCACCATTTTTTTTAAACCGCAACCCGGAGGTGCGTTTTTCGATGAAAACGCCACCCGAGGGCGCGTTTTTCGATGAAAACCGCACTGGTAGGGAGCGGTTTTGCAAACCGCACCCCCAGGGTGCGATCTGCCTTTTTTTTTTTTTGCAAACCGCACCCCCAGGGTGCGATCTGCTTTTTTTTTTTTTTTTTTTTTTTTTGAAAAATCCTAACTTAGGTGGAAACTTCAAACAAACGTATCTTTATGTTCGGGTATCCGATCGCCGCGATTTTTTTTTTGATTCCGCATAACTTTTTGAGATCTTGCAAGCCGAAGACTGCCAAAGGTGGTTTGGTCTCGCCTTCGAACCAAAAAATGTCGTTTGCTACCCCGAACGAGCATTTTTTCGATTTCGTCAAACTTTGAACGACCATAACTTTGTGCTCCACAATCCGAAAATCATGATTTTTTTTTTATTTTGCATAACTTTTTGAGGACTAAATTTTTTATCATAGACATAATTTCGGAATGTACTTGGATTCCTAAAAAGAAAGGTAAACTTATTCCCAAAACCCCGTATATCCAAAATAATTCATTTTTTGAAAATTCTCTCCTAGAAAAAATTGTAGTCCTCAAAAAGTTATGCAAAATCAAAAAAAAGTTCATGATTTTCGGATTGTGGAGCACAAAGTTATGGTCGTTCAAAGTTTGACGAAATCGAAAAAAGGCTCGTTCGGGGTAGCAAACGATGTTTTTTCGGGACGAAGGCGGGACCAAACCGCCTTCGGCATTTTGCGGCTTGCAAGATCTCGAAAAATTATGCGGAATAAAAAAAAAAATCGCGACGATCGGATACCCGAACATAAAGATACGTTCGTTTGAAGTTTCCACCTAAGTTAGGATTTTTCAAAAAAAAAAAAAAAAAAAAAGCAGATCGCACCCTGGGGGTGCGGTTTGCAAAAAAAAAAAAAAAAAAAAGGCAGATCGCACCCTGGGGGTGCGGTTTGCAAAACCGCTCCCTACCAGTGCGGTTTGCATCGAAAAACGCGCCCTCGGGTGGCGTTTTCATCGAAAAACGCACCTCCGGGTTGCGGTTTTACAAAAATGGTGCTATTTTTGGAATTTTTCGGAGTTGGGTGCTATTTTTGGAATTTTTTTTTTAAACAGTGCTATTTCTGGAAAAATCTCTAATGTATGTGCATTTTATGTGATATCTGAAAAAAGGGTTTGCTTGATTGAAAACTGTTACTTCCTGGCGTTAAACATAATCAATCCTTGATACAAAACTGTAGCTAATATCCAATTGGGTATTTTCAAGAATAATTTGAAAGCGGTGGATACAAACATGCAAGAAAAACACAGTGCCCTGATTACGGCCACGCCCCTCTCTCTCACCCTCTCTTACGAGCAATTATGGCAATGGGGCGGGATGGGGGCATGAGGCGAGGCGGGACCTCAATTCCTAGTGGAATCGGCGTTGCTACTAGACTGCTTCAAGATTGCTTGCAAATAGCCGAACAGGCATATAAAGAAAAGAGATCTATTCCAATTGAGATTTCGTTTATTGTATAATAATTAATTCATTGTCAATTTATGATAAATAATGAGTTGTGATATAGTAACGAAGTACAATAGTGTTGTGTTCCATCCTTCGTATAAACATATATGAAGTATTTTTGTTCCTCCCAAAATTTACCCCTCCCGGGACTGCCCAATAGGGCTGCCTCCGCCACTGCGCCCCACGTTACTACGGGTTGGGAAAGGGCGGCGCGACACGACCCATTCTTATATGTTATTTGAAAAAAAAAATTCAATTTTTACTTTTTTATGATAAAACGAAGGAAAAAATACTTTATTAATGAAAAATGGTGATAATATAATGGGTAATTGAGTCTAACAAGTTGAAAGATCGACTCTAATTAGTTGAAGAAAAATCAAAATAGGAGAAATTTATATAGATACGGTAAGAATTGAGATAAAATAGGTTTAGAACAGTGCGTGGCGGGGCAAAGCGGGTCGAAAATAAATACCTATACACCGCCCCACATTACTGCAAGTCGAGTAATACTCGCCCATAGCTAATCAGATCGAGTAATACCCATGGGAGGGTTCAAATTGTCATCACTACTTACGAGATTCCTAAATGAAACACCAATATCCATTGCACTAAATATTATTCTCATTAGTACTACTATAAGTAAGGCAATCATATACCGCCTTTTCCCCGATTTTTCCACCGGCCGGCCGTACCCCTCGAGAATAATATCATCCTCTTTTCCATCCCTCCAATCTTTTCTTTAACGTTTTTCCTCTTCTTTGTTATAAGTACAACACTCATATATATTTCCCTTTCCTTTCCCCTATATACACCTCCACTTCTCCTTCACGCTTCCACACAAACACAACCCATTACTTACTCGAAACAAGCTATAGGAGAGAAAAGCAATGGAGAGAGTGTTCCAATTGGCGGCGGAGAGGCCGGTGGTGATGTTCAGTAAGAGCACTTGCTGCATGTGCCACACCATCAACACCTTGTTCTCCGACTTCGGGGTCCACACCACGGTCTACGAGCTCGACGAGATGCCACGTGGCAGGGAGATCGAGCAGGCACTGGCTCGACATGTCGGTGCCGGCAGTGACTTCCCCGTGGTGTTCATCGGCGGGAAGCTCGTTGGTGGTGCTAATGAGATCATGACCCTTCATCTCAACGGTTCCTTGTCTACCATGCTCAAACGAGCTGGTGCGTTGTGGCTCTGATCCATCTCAGACGATGAGATGGGTCAAGTTTTGACTAACTTTACTTACTACAATCTGAGTTTTTTCTTTTTTTTTTTCCTTTCTTGCTCATCGTCATAAAGGGTGACCATCGATGAGTATCCAACTTTGTTTTTGGCTAAGTATATCTGAGGGTGCTATAAAATGTATACTTTATGTATGTATGTATTGGGATTTCATGAATTAGGCTTTGTGCTACTTTATAATGCAATGCCTAATATGATGTATCTCCCCACATTTTGTAATATCTCTATATCTACTATACGAGTAATATAATAAATTTCGGTGAGAGTTTTATCGATCTTATTATGACTATATTAAATTTACGAGAGAATTAATAGGTAGATAATACCTACATTTGTAGTGAGCTGACGAAAACTTGAACGCGCCCATATTGAGTTGCTCTTAGTATACTACTATATTGTTGGATTACAAGTTCTTTGAACATACTACCACTTTGATCGATCAAGGTAAAATTTACACAAAGTTCAAAGGAACAACCGTATGCCTTCAATTTTTTTATTTATTTTTACTGTGCAAATGCACGCATTTTACGCTGCCGGGCTGAACACAGATTGGGCTTTCAGCTTTATGGCATTTGAACCAGTAGAAAATCCTGCGAATGGGCCTTGTAAAATAACATCATAAGCCCAATCTTCTACCTATTTTCTTTAGGGTAAACACTATTAATATTTAATACAAACAAAATTAATATTAATAAAAAATGTGGAAATTGTAGAAGAACTGAAGAAGAGAAGATTGCATTCGTATCTCAAAATGAGTAGAGATTAGAAAAGTGGTGGGGATTGGATAGATTTTCCATCGGCAACACGTGTGCGTGGGAGATAAAAGGAATGTTTTTTTTATTAAAAAAAGGCTACAGAATCTTAAGGCCCAATTACCGAAGCTAAAGCCTAAGATGGTCCCCGCCTGAGCTGATCCACCGGGTCAGCTTTCTGGCCCACTTTTCGTATCAATGGGCAATGCTCCACCTAGGGGTGGGCATTCGGTCGGTTCGGTTTCGACCGAACCAAAATTATGAATACCGGGTCCCCGAATTCTCCCAAACTTCAAACCGAATTCGAACCGAATTATAATTCGGTTCGGTCGGTTTAAACCGAATTATAATTCGGTTCGGTTCGGTTTTTCACACAAAACCGCATTTGTGAAGCTACTTGTATTTTCTCACTTTTAAATTATTTTTCACCCCTAATATAAACAATAAATATAAATTATATGCACCATCAATGATAAAACCAAACTTTTCAACACATAAGTCTTAAAATATTTCAAATATTTAAGTCTAAAAACAACTACAAACATAAAAATCCACCATTTGGAGCTTGCAATTATGGTATTTCGGTTTTTCGGTCGGAAATTCGGAAATTCGGTTCGGTTGAAAGAACCCTGATTTTCGAACTATCCATATTTTTCTTCCGAATTCCGAACCGAATAGCATTAATTCGGTTTCGGTTCGGTTTAATTCGGTTTCGGTTCGGTTCGGGTTTACCGAACCGTTTGCCCACCCCTAGCTCCACCACCATCAAACGCCCATCTCTTCACCGCTCCACGACTGAAGCTGCAAATGGTGTCGTTTAGGGAAGCCATCAGGCGAATTTTATTAATTGGAATCAGAAACCTTACAATTTACATTATCCTTTACAACACCACATATATATATCAAATGCAAACTACCTATACAGTACTTGAAGTATACATATTTACAACATAACCTACGAACTAAGTAAAATCTACATCTAGGTCCTCGTCGTTTCCTCCTTGGACAACTCCTCCCCGCAAGCTGGTGCGTATATGTCAAGACGACCCAGCTTGGCCTGCAACTGATGAAAAACATGAACTGGAAGGGACTTAGTAAACATATCAGCTAGCTGTTTTGTACGTTCATGATTGACTGGATTGTCAACAAGTTTAATGGCCGACATACTATCACAATATATGGAAGTGGGAGAAGAGAAACAAACATGTAAATCATTCAGAACATATCTGAGCCACATGATTTCACAAGTTAAACTTGCCATTGCTCTATATCCAGCTTCAGCTGAAGAGCGAGAAACTATTTTCTGTTTCTTTGATCGCCAACTAATCAAAGAATTCCCTAACAATACACAAAATCCTGTTGTAGACCTGCGTGTGTCTGGACAACCAGCCCAATCACTGTCACAAAAAGCTTTCAATTTAAGTTCAGAACCAGCAGAGAAGAAAAGTCCTTGACCTGCAGTGCCTTTGATGTAACGTAAAACATGTTCAGCAGCTTGCATATGCTGGTCAGTGGGGCTGTGTGTGAACTGACTTAATTGATGAACTGAATAAGCTAAATCAGGACGTGTATTGCAAAGATAAAGTAGACGTCCTACCAATCGCTTATAGACAGAAGGGTCAGAAAGGGTATTACCAGATGCAGCAGAAAGCTTAGTACCTGGAACAGAAGGAGAATCACAAGGTTCTGCACTAAGATAACCATAATCAGTTAACAAATCTAAAGCAAATTTCCTTTGATAAAGCAAAATACCCTTATCTGTCCTAGCAATCTCTAGTCCAAGAAAGAATTTTAATTCTCCAAGATCCTTGATAGTGAAGGTCTGATCTAACTGATGTTTGAGATCAATAATGGCTTTGAGGTCATTTCCTGCCAAGATAATGTCGTCAACATACACAAGTGCAATAGTAAAAGACTTATCATGGCTACGAACAAACATAGAATAGTCTGCTTTAGATTGTTTGTAACCAGCTGAAGTTAAGAAAGTGGACAGTTTAATATTCCATTGTCGACTGGCTTGTTTTAGCCCATAGATAGATTTGTTAAGCCGACAGACATGGTTTTTAAAACCAGGAGGCACTACCAGACCTGGAGGAATCTTCATGTAGACCTCTTCATCGAGGTCATGTAGAAAAGTTGTATTGACATCAAGTTGATGCAAGTGCCAATTGTTAATGGCAGCAAGTGACAAAATAAGACGAACAATGGTGTGCTTAACAACTGGTGCAAAGGTTTCTAAGTAGTCTAGACCAGGAGTTTGAGTGTACCCCTTTGCTACTAAACGAGACTTAAACCTTTCGATTTCACCATTTGACAGAAATTTAACTTTGAACACCCACATGTTGCCTATGGCAATCTTACCATCAGGTAACTCTACAATGGTCCAAGTATTGGTTTTATCTAAGGAGGCTAACTCTCAATTACAAGCCTTTGACCACCTAGGATCTTTAATAGCCTCTTTATAAGATCTAGGTTCTAGAATGGCAGAACTGGCAAGAATGTATTTCTTGTATTCTGGGCTGAGTTTGTCAAAAGACATAACTTGAGATAAAGGATATGTAACCCCATCACATTCAATAGCACAAATATAATCATCGAGCTTTTTAGGACGCACCTTAACACGAGGAGGCCTCGCATATGGTGGAGGTTCTACTGCTTGAATGATGTCAACTAAGTCTGGAGGTTCCTCAGGTAATGGTAGAGCAGAATCTAAAGCGCCATCAGAATAAGGCAAAACAGAATTCTGAACTAAAGGAGAATGTGAAGTAGATGCAGTATTATGAACTACTGTTTCCTGAACTTGAATACAGGGAAAACAAAAATCAAACCCAGGTGTAGATTCAGAATTAGCAAATGGAAAGACATGTTCATGGAAAACAGTATCTCGTGAATAAAAGATGTTATGAGAAACGAGATTATAAAGTCTATACCCTTTAACAATGTTGAGCAAACCTAAGAAAACACAAGGGTCAGCTCTAGGAGCAAATTTTGGTCTGTTATGTTGCAATGTTGAAGCAAAAACAAGACAGCCAAAAACCTTGAATTCACTATAAGCAGGTTTAGTTTTGAAAAGCAATTCATAAGGAGACAGATTTTGTAAAAGTGGAGATGGCATTCTGTTTATCAAGAATACATAATGTAAAATAGCAAAACCCCAAAAAGAGATTGGTAAGGAAGCTTGAAACATGAGAGCACGAGCAACAGCCAATATATGTTGGTGTTTCCTCTCAACACGACCATTTTGTTGAGAGGAAGCAACGCAAGTTGTTTGATGTATAATACCAAACGTATTGTAGAAAGATGGAACATTAAATTCTTGGCCATTATCAGTTCGAATTATTTTGATTTTTGAAGAAAATTGAGTATTAACGAAAGCCGGCAGATCTAACAGAATTTGCCTAGCTTCACCTTTTGTTTTCATTAGATAAATCCAAGTGTGTCTTGAGAAATCATCAACACAAGTGAGAAAGTATCTAAAGCCATCAACAGTGGGAACCTGATATGGCCCCCATATATCGATATGAAGTAACTCAAAAGGAGAAGAAGCATGAGAGGTACTCGAAGGAAAAGGGAGACGCTTTTGTTTAGCTAAAGGACAGATAGTACAAGGCGTTTTATTATGAGAAACAACTGGTCTGATTGTGTCATCTAAAATATGAGAGAGTGGAATGGAAGTATGACCAAGTCTGTAATGCCAGATATCAAAAGGAACATAAGTGGCATTGAAACAAACATTACAGGAGGATGACTGAGATACAGACGATGCTATGTTGAGATGATAGAGGCCAGATTCTTGTTTAGCTGTATGATAGACCGTTATATACACATGTTTTTACCCCTGTTCTTACACGTTTGAGGTGTTGATTCTCGTGTTTTAGGCCGATTTCATGCTAGGTTGTGCTTGTTTGTGATATTTCAGGTCCTAGTACGTGAATGGAGGCTTGGGAGCGAGTTTGGGTTCGATTGGACGAAGATCTGACGCATGGCGAGGTTCTAAGGAAGCCACACGGGCAGCCCTGGGTATCACACGGCCGTGCAACTTGCAATTGTGGCCGTGTGATTTTTGCCGAGGCCAAACACGGGCATCCCAGGAAATCCACACGGCCGTGCGACCCTGGCCGTGTGGGATGGCTGAAGATCGACCTAAGTGATACGGCGCGTTTTGACTCACACGGGCAACTGGGTGAGCCACACGGCCGTGTGGCCTGCCCGTGTGAGTCGGGAAATTCTGGTTTTTCAACCACTTTCGAGCCAAAAGTGGGGGGACCGGATTTTCAGAACAAAAAACAGTGCCCTAGAGAGAGAAAGTACGAAGAACACATCCTAGAAGCTATCTTGGAGCTGGGTTTCGTCAAATCGAGCTTGGAGATCGTCATAGGAGTGGAAATCATCATCCCGGAGCAGATTTTCCTCATCATTATGAGTATGACTAATCCGATTACTGTTTTCTTCTCTCTCTATGGAGTATAACCCTTCTCTCAC